CCCCCCCCCCCCCCCCCCCCCCCCAAGTGTGCATTAGCCGGCGTAATGCATGACTTTTTTTTATTTTCCCTTTGTTGTTGACGAACGACGCTGATGTGTTGACGGGGTGTTGCCTCCACCGCGGCGCACGACCTTTGAACCACTGCGACCTTCACCCGCCCTCGCCGCTACGGCTGCAGTTGGCCGTACGGCACGCCAGAGGAATGACCTTCTCCCTCCCTCCCTCCCTCCCTCCCTTCGTCCCTCTCTTGGTTTCCCCCCGACCCTTGGTTATCGGTGTCATTCGTACCGCCGCCGCCTGCCGTGACATGTACACGGCATGTGATACGATATGACAATATACGATATATTTTCCATCAGATTATGCTCCTCTCCGAGGCGACTGTCGGGGGCGGCGCCCTGGAGCTCGAGGACCTTGCCGGTGTGGTCGGGGCGGTCGGTCTACTTGCCGCCCTCGGCGACGAGTTTGTCGGAGGCAGCGGCAGCGGCGGCAGCAACAATAGTGGCGGCGCAAATGGCACACAGGAGCAGCAGCAGGAGCAGCAGCAGCGGCAGCAGCAGCAGCAGCAGAGTGGTAGCAGCACGTCAACGTCAACGACGTCTGTGGCGAGCTCGGAGAGGGATGGAGGCGGCGGCGGTGGGAGGCGGGGTGCGGGGAAGGCGCTGCGCGAGTGCCTGTCTGGTATGGCGCGAGAGTTCTTCCGAGGGGCCAACAAGGTGCTGCGATGACGACGAGAGGGGGGGGCGGGGGCGTACTCGTATGTCTTGTGTGCCTCAGCGGTTGGACCATTGACCACGCGCCCTCGAGAGGACGGAGCATTGTGCCTACAGGACCGATCACCGATGTCTAATCGTTCCTTCCACTGGGGTGGGAGAGGGGTGTTTCCCTGTGTGATGTGTGGTATCAACAATGTCGGCGGAGACGTACGTTGCTGTGTGTGTTGAACAAGGGCCCCGCCGCCACAAGCGGCATTGCTTCTGCTACGGCGGTGTGAGTTATAAATATACAGCCGGTTCGATTTCGTTCGGTTGGATGGATCACTTGCTGTTGTACCTCGGAACCGGCACAGGCTATCTGTCTGACTGCTGTGCGTCGTTCACGCCGCTACGCTGCTTATCTCACGATCTGAACGAGCGGATCCCCCCCCCTCGCCCCTCACGCACATGTATATCTGCGGAACCCCCCCCCCCACCCCACCCCATGCGTACCATGGACGACGGAACAAATGTTTCGCGATGCTCAGGAGGGCGTGGCCGTGGTGAAGCAGATGCTGGAGATGGAGGCATGGCAGAGGGTGCCAGTCCCGCTAAAGGTATTGTAGGTGTTCTGGCATGATCTAAAAGTGGTGCTTACGTCACATCTATTGCGTCGTCGTACGTCGTCTCGTTGTACTTGTTGTTTTTGTTGTCGCGGAGGTTACGTCAGGTTGCCAAAGTTTGGGACCGTTAGCGCACATATTTTGCGGCGATTGTCCTGGCTACAGTAATTTTTGGACGGCGACGGGTTTGTCGAACTACCTGCGTTCTCTGAACACGTCTTGCAGTGAAAAGGTCAGCCTTGAAATATATTATGACGCAGTTTCTTCGATTGGACAGTCATGTCCGCAACGCGGCCGTCCGGTGCCCGGTGCCACGGGCTGCGTGATTTACCATCATTCGGTGGCATGCGCTCTCTCTCCGTCGCTTAACTCACACTGCGATGCCGTTAGTTGTTTTATCACCCCACCCTGCCCAGCCCCCACGGGCATCCGGTCCGCCTGTCATATCCATCCTCGGCACTAGTTTTGGTCCCGTCCCCTTCTTTCCGTGCGTGTTGAAAACTGTTACAATAAAACAACTAACAATGACACGACAAAACAACTAACAAGGCGGATGAGGGTGGCGTAGGAGGGCTCATCGACACCAACGCGCAGAGGTTTTGCAGCCCGCACCGGGTAAGCCATGCATGCAGCAAGTCTTCACCACGCCGTGTTGTTGTTGTTGTTGTTGTTGTTGTTGTTGTTGTTGTTGTTGTTGTTGCTGTGCGCAAGGGTATGCGTTTGCTGCTTGTCGCCGTAGGGGCCATAGAAGGGCAGCAAGGCAACTTCTGTTCTCTCTTCAAACGGGCAAGAGTGCAGTTGGGTTCTAATGGGCAGACTCGAGAGTGTATTTAGGATCAGGTCCTCGCGGGCGATCGGTGATCTTTTCGGTTGTGGATGCGGATACGAAATCGTTGCAATCACGCGCCTTTTTTTGTTTTGGTGTCGCTTTGTGTGCGCGCGCTGCTGTAACGCCAGGTCTACCGCGGCATCCGCAAGCCGTACCTGCACCTGATGCACGACGTCATGGCCCTCGAAGAGGAGCAAGAAATTTCTCCGGAACAATCTCCGGAACGCTCTCTGGAAGGCTCTCCTTCTTCCGCGACAAAGCCGACACTCGACCCATCATCAACACCTCCAGCAAGACCGCCACCCCCCCCGGCTCAACTGCAACAGCAACAGCAACAGCAACAGCAACAGCAACAGCAACAGCAACAGCAACAGCAACAGCAACAGCAACAGCAACAGCAACAGCAACAGCAACAGCAACAGCAACAGCAACAGCAACAGCAACAGCAACAGCAACAGCAACAGCAACAGCAACAGCAACAGCAACAGCAACAGCAACAGCAACAGCAACAGCAACAGCAACAGCAACAGCAACAGCAACAGCAACAGCAACAGCAACAGCAACAGCAACAGCAACAGCAACAGCAACAGCAACAGCAACAGCAACAGCAACAGCAACAGCAACAGCAACAGCAACAGCAACAGCAACAGCAACAGCAACAGCAACAGCAACAGCAACAGCAACAGCAACAGCAACAGCAACAGCAACAGCAACAGCAACAGCAACAGCAACAGCAACAGCAACAGCAACAGCAACAGCAACAGCAACAGCAACAGCAACAGCAACAGCAACAGCAACAGCAACAGCAACAGCAACAGCAACAGCAACAGCAACAGCAACAGCAACAGCAACAGCAACAGCAACAGCAACAGCAACAGCAACAGCAACAGCAACAGCAACAACAGCAACAGCAACAGCCGCTGCTGAGGGCGTGGCACCAGCGAGGTAACCCGTTCCAGATGTCGGGCGACAACCACCCCCCGCTGCCATCGGTACAAGAACCAACCGAAGCAGGGACGACGGCTGTTGCCGCCGCGGGTGGCGAGGCGCCGATGGGAATGAGCTCGATTGCCGGCGGTGGCGTGGGGCTGGGGATGCTTGCGGACGGGGCGGACGTAGATGATGACCCCGACGCCGTTCTTGCTGTCTGCGGCGCCCCCGGTGGGGGGGGCGGCGGTGGACTAGGGGGGGAGGCGGGTGACGGCCGTGGTGGGGAAGAGCTCGAAGCAGAGGAGCAGAGGTGAGTGGGCACCACAGAGTAAGCTCGGTCGGGGAGCCCGTGAGAGAGAGAGAGGGGGTGGGGGGGGGTGCTTGCTGTTGTACGTTGTCTGGGAGAAAGACGGTGCCTATTTCTCCCTCTCGGGGTGTGGAGCTCGGAGTCGTTGGGCGGGAGTAGGGGAAGTGTCCGGCGGTGGTATGACGGGGTTGCGTGGAGGCTTCTGCTGCTGCTGCTGCTGCTGTTGCTGTCATTGTCGTCTTTCGCTCGGAAAATCCGACGCGTGCTGCATGCAAGCAGACAAGAAAACTCGAGTGGCAATGACCGGTGCGTTGCTGCGCTCGGTGTAGACCGGGATCTTTATTCTCTTCTCTTGACAGTCGCGGGTTCGATCCCGAAAGCCAAAGCTCTTTGTCTCCCGCCAAACATGGGTTCGATCAACGGCCTAAAGATATGAATTTATCTTGTGTTTGTCGTCACTTCAAGTCAGCCCTCGCAGCGCTTGTGCCGTTTTCTCCAACCTGTGGTCACACTGGAGGATAAGGATGCCAACTCCAATAATATGAGACCCCCTCCCCCCAACCCCAGCCGCGCAACCCTGTCCCTCGACGGGGGATACTACGGCAGCATTGGTAGATTTTTGCTTGCCGTGCACACTCGTTCTTGTCTTGAAATCGGTGTGTCGGCTCGAGAACAAACCCAACAAGAGTTGACGAGGGGTAGGGCTGCGAACGTTTGTAACGGTCGGCAAGCAACTGCTTCGAATTTGCTGTACGTGATGGTTGATGGTCCGTTCTGCTTTTCTCAGGTACGGGTCCGGGTGGGTGGTGACCCAGGCCTCCCTGAACGGTGTCGCGAGGTACGCCGGGCACGCGCTGCAGATCATGGCTCTCGTGCGGCCTGCGGCTCCTTCGGCCTTCGGGGGGCTGAGGCAGTTGGTGGACCTGTACCTGTACTGTGCCCTCACGCTCTTCTGCCCGGAGTGGGCGATCGACGGTGTGTGTTGCTGGAGAGCCGCTGTTGTCGCTGATGTTGTTGTTGTTGTTGCTGCTGCTGCTGCTGCTGCTGCTGCTGTGGTTGCGTGCTCATGATTTTCGCCTGGAGTGGGCGATTGATGGTGTCTGCTGATACGTCAGCTGCAGCTGTTGCTGCTGCTGCTGCTGCTGCTGTTGTTGCGCCTGCTGTTGCTTTCCGCTGTATCCGTTGTCTGTTTTTTTTTCCTGTTGCCACGCCGTGCCCTCGAGACTCCTTTCGATTGTTGCAGTGTTTGTTTTCGATAAGCCCAGATGAAGAAAGCGCTTGCCCCCCCCCGCCCCTTCACCTGTTTCAGCACGACGCTGCCGACAAGAATAAGATCGCGGTGTGTCTGTGCGCAAAGAGGGCGGCGTATTGAATCGATTCATTTGGATGAAGTGATCGCATTGTATGAATGTTCTCCTTTTCCGTCCGCTGGTCCCCGGCCACTTCCTCACTTTCATTTTTGTGTGTGGTCCTGTCGATACTCGTCTGCTCGACCGTTCTCTGCTGCTGCTGCTGCTGCTGCTGCTGCTGCTGCTGCTGTTGCTGCTGCTGTTGCTGCTTCGGCCGCCGCCTCGAACGTAACGCAGCCCTCTACGGCTTCGGCGACGAGGAGCTGGTGCCGACCCCGGAGGAGCAAGAGGCGCGTATATGTAAACATCGGCCGTTTCTGGCGTAAAGCTTCCATTGTGTGTCATTTTATTGCTTCGCAATAGAAAGGCCACCCTTGTTCTGTGAGTTAATGTTCACGACTCGTCAGATTATGTTAACTTCTTGAATTACTTGGTATCCAGATGTTTGGTGCTCGTGACCGACTAGTGCTTCGATTCGTCCTCCCACAGGTATGATTTAAAACAGAGGGTGGCAATTTTGGTTTGTTCTGGCGTCCGTGGCAGTTCCCCACCATCCCTGCTGCCTCGCATCGTCAGCCACAAACGGGTTCGTGTATGCACCATTTGGCATCAACCAAAATTCTTGTTTGAAACCATCGTTTTTGGAAGAGAGCACTCCAGCGCTGCTGGAAAAGCTGCCCTACCCAGTGGTGTCCCGCCGTCGTTGACGTCCGTCTTCGAATACTCGTTTGTTTGGCCTAGATTATTGTGAAGAGGGGCAAGTGTACGCACGTAAGCAAGCCC